TTAGATTTTTGGAAATTTTTACTGCAACCCCTTTCGCTTCTGTTAAACATCATCGTCCATTACAGGCAGGAATGCTGTAAAAACGCAAAATTACTCAAACCATTTGGAGAAGTATTACACAGTAAACTTCCAATTTACCGGATGCGGATTAATTAATTTGAAGATATTTCGGATATTATGTAAAAAAGTTTCTAAGTTCATTTATTGGAAAAAGATGCGAAAATTACTATTCACAAACCATCAGAGTAAAATAAAACTGACTGCGGGAAATACAGAAAGGAAAAAAAAAAAAAATGTGTCAGATAGTAACAGTGATAGAGTATTTGTGATTGATATAATAATTGATGTTATGTCTAGTATTTGTGAGTCGTTTTTATCCACAAAAGTATTTAACTGTACATGATTTAGAACTGGCCTCCGCAACCTATGATTCACGGGTCATCGAGCGACCCATTTCATAATTTCAAGTGACCCTCTTGAGTTCCGAAAATAAAGTATAATACTTAAAAATAAATTATACGACGTAAATATGAAACCAGCATTTGAAGAATACATAAAAAAACCAAAAATAAATTATAACAATAACACGTACAGTGGATGGACAAAAATATGGAAACACCTTGTGAAATGCATGTTTGAAAAGAAAGATTGATTTTAATGAAATATGTAGGTGGCGCTGGCGTTTTTGACTACTGACGCCACATGTAAAACTTCGTAAATGTGCTAAACAGTTCAGTTGTTGTCGGAGTACTGTTATGTGAGGTTGTCATTGCATTATGTCAGAGTTAACAGACTTCGAACGTGGGAAATTCTTGGAGCACGTATGGTAGGTGCTTCCATAAGCAAGGTAGCCGAGGTGTTTAGTGTTTCAAGAGGTACTGTATCGAAGATTTATTCCGCATATTTGAAAAGCGGAAAAACATCATCTGCTAAATCACAGCGCGACGAAAGTGTGTCCCGAGTGATCGTCACAGAAGATCATTAAGGGCAATTGTGACGAAAAATAAGAAGACCACAGCTGCAAAAGTTACTGCTGAAATGAATGTTGTGTTACCGAACCCTGTGAGTACCAAAACAATTAGAAGGGAGCTTCATAAACAGGGAATTGCTGGCCGTGCTGCAATCGAGAAGCCACTCATCAGTGATGCTAATGCCCGTAACAGGAAAAGGTGGTGTTTAAGTCATAAAGCCTGGACTATAGAGCAGTGGAAGCGAGTAATATGGTCTGACGAGTCTTCTTTCACATTGTTTCCCACTTTTGGCCGAGTTTACGTCTGGAGAACGCCATCTCAAGCCTATAATACAGACTGCTTGTTGCGAAGAGTGAAACATGGCGGGGGTTCTGTTATGGTTTGGACAGCCATATCGTGGTTCTCTGCTAGCCCCATGATAACTGTGTCAGGGCACATGACTGCCAAGACTTATGTGAACATTTTGGCCGATCAAGTTCATCCCATGGTACAAACTTTGTTCCCCGATGGTAATGGTGTCTTCCAAGACGACAAACCCCCTGTTCACACAGCTCACATTGTCCAGGACTGGTTTTCTGAGCACGAGGATGAGTTGTCCCATCTCCCCTGGCCACCACAGTCCTCAGACCTGAATATTATCGAACCTTTGTTGTCTACATTGGAACGGAAAGTGCGTTCTCGTTATTCACCGCCAACATCGTTATCTGAACTTGCCACCGTTTTGCAGGAAGAATGGTATAATATTCCCTTGGCAAACATACAGGAACTATATTTATCCATTCCGAGAAGACTGCAAGCTGTTTTGGATGCCAACGGGTTTCCAACATCATATTAAGCAAAGAAACATGGTTTAAAGGTGTTTCCATATTTTTGTCCAACCCCTGTATATGAAACGAGGTCTTGAAGAATACACTGCAGCAGACATGACCAAATTGCTGCTGCTCCGACACTTTAACTGGGGTTCGTGAGCTACTAGCGATCCTTTGCCATCTGAAATGCGACTAATAATATTTTTGAATAAATATAGTTGAATTCTTTTTAATACAAGTAGAATCTGAAATAGAAATCATGGTGTAACCTTTCTTTATTAATCGCTAATTTAATTTCTGATATGTACAGTAAGACCCCGCTTAACGCGGGGGATACGTTCCATCGAAGTAGAGCGTAATCCGAAACAGCGCTAAGCGAGGCTATCTTAACATGTAAATAATGGGGTTAGGGGAAGACGGATAAAAAATGGTTAGGCATTAAATTTAATAATGTTTTTTTTAATAAAAATAAAATCAAACACTTATTTCTTACAAAAATAAAAACAACATAAACGCATATACTTTTAAAAACAAATAAAATTCTCAGTCAGATCATTCAGTCTATTCTGGGTTTCCAATTTTCTGCCTTTTTGTCAAGAAGGCATTATGATAGATTGGCTTAATGGCATATTGCGTTCAATTTCTTCGTCAATCCATATAGACAGTCGTTTTCCCATTTCCTCTATAATGTTATTTCTAGAACGGGTAATTCTAGTTGCAGAGCTCGACGTAGTTGCAGTTGCCGATGACGGTATTTTTTCTTTATTCTTAAGAATTGTCCTTATTGTTGAAGTTGCCAAAATCAATGCAGCAATAATTTGAGATTGACGTTCACCAGAATCTAATCTTCTAATCACTTGCATTTGAGTTTCCAGTGAAATGCTTTTTCTGGTTGCTTTGTTTTCTTGTTTTTTATTATCACCCATGATAAAAACTAAAGATGATAATATCTGTCACTGTATTAATCGTTATAGTATTATACAAACTTACAATAATGTCAACAAATGTTGTTTCAAATGATAAAAATGCGTCCACCAAGCAAGAAACACAACTACACTGTTTCGGATATGTTATTTGGAAACCTAGCGCTGCGCACAATTTCGGAGAATCCCCGGGTTGAAATGAAAGAGCGCTAAACCGAAACAGCGCTAAACGAAACAGCGTTAAGCGGGGTCTTACTGTATGTAAAAATTTGATAGATTTCAAACTGTTCATTGCTGGCTTGTCGTGCAACAAATAAGTAAAATTACAAATAATTCAATTTCTGGTAATTACTATTCCGTTTAGGTTACTTTTTGAACACGTGATGGTTATTAATCTCGTGATGGTCATTAATATGAAGTTAATCTGAAACTCAATGCTAATATTTTTATTTATTTACTCTCCCTAATATTTTTTCTCTCCAGTAAATTTTACTTTAGGCAGTATCTGCTTACATTCCTGTGTGATCCACCTCGAAGATTTGCTATTCGTTGTAGGGTACTATTTTATTCAGTCCTTGCATAACTGCTGAAGATCATAACCAAGTTAGTTACACAGATATTGGGCCTTTAAACATATTATTAAACATATTGACATATATTGGGATTTTAAAGGCATCTGTCCATTAAGCTGCTTGCAAATACAGTGAATTATTTTGTGTTGATTGCAATACAGGTTACTTCTGTTTCCTGTGCTTTTTTAACCACTCTCAGATTAACAGTGTACGTCGTCTCTGATATTCTCCCATTCTACTCGGCCAATTGACGAAATTTAACTTTCGATTTTTCATGTCTCCAAAGCCCAACAAAGGATATATATTAGATTTATATACACAATTGTTTTAACATAGGTATTATGACACAAATTCGGACTTTTTCTGAAATCATGTACCTTATTTCTTTCCCAAATTCCGATTTTGCGACTCGAATTATGTCTAAATATTAAATTTTGTAAAATTTAGTGAGCAACTTACCGAGTAATTTAAAAATTTATCTTGGCGCATTTTTTTTTTCAGTTTGCGCCAAGAATAATTCACTTGACGATATTCTTAACTCATAATAAACTATGTTCCTTTCCCGTTCATTGTGCTCGAGCGGAAAAAGATGGTGCATCGTCTATTTTATCAAATAATTTTAACAAAGAGTGTAAATTATATTTGGCGTTATTGTCGCTAATAATAAATGTGCCAAATTTGAAAACAACTATATAAATTCACGTTTATTTTAGGAAATTTTGAATGAAGAGCTCTAATATTTTGCACGTATGCTTAGAAACACATCTACTTTAAAAATGTTTTCGAAATGAATGGGAGATATAGAACTGTCGCATTTAATTTTTTTTCCCGCAAGATGTACATTATTCATTTGAACAGCTCGTAGTTCAGTAAAAAGTACTAACAGCGTTTTCTTTGGCAGTGAATATCAGAAAATGCTTCTATTGGGAATTAAATGGTATATTTACGTTATTATGCCATTAAAATTTTACGGTTTTTCCGAAACTTGCACGGATTAAAAGCATTAATTCATTCTTTACAAAATCACTGAATAAGTGAAGCGACTAAAAACTATTATGAACTCAAATTTTCATTTAATATAAGGAAACTGACATAATTTTATGACACTTCAGCGATAAAGTACACAATTAAGACAGACGTTCCATAAAAAAAAAGTTAAAATTTTCTTGTTATGATGAGGACTTAATTGAGACAGCGCGATTTTCAGTCCCTGCTGTTTTCAGAAATAAAAGTTAATATGCTGCTACCACATTTAGTTCAACTACTATGCATAAATCTGTGACAGCGGTAAATTTATTTTCTACTATGGAGGCTGAAAATTAGAAGAAATTATTTACGAACTCTAGCATACTGAGAAACTAATTAGTCTTTTACTGCGAAAACCACATGAATATTAAACTCAAGAATGCAATTTTGAAAGTAACGTAACGGAATTTTGAAAGTAACGTAACGGAAGCGTTTAAAAGAAGGACCAATTCTAGATTCAAATTCAGAAAGGAAAGAGAAGCATTAGTGACGGAGAAAAACTGATTACGCACGTACTCAGTGAAAGTAACGTAACGGAATTTTGAAAGTAACGTAACGGAAGCGTTTAAAAGAAGGACCAATTCTAGATTCAAATTCAGAAAGGAAAGAGAAGCATTAGTGACGGAGAAAAACTGATTACGCACGTACTCAGACTTCCCTTTACAATTTCATCAAAACTATACGAATAGATGTACTTACGGCCCACCCACAACAGAGGAAAATGGTTAGTGACTCTGACTGCCGTACCGAAGGTCCCGGGCTCGAATCCCGGAGAAGGCATGAATGTAATTTGTCTGCCATTTCATAGGAGAGAACGGTGGCCACATATTAGGTGCCTCCATAAAAAAGACACCACCGCTTCCGACCTTAGCAGTAGCCAATATCTATAAAGAGGTAAAGCCTGTCATTAAAAAAAAAAAAAAAAATCTAATGTGTACACCACATGGCTTCCTTGTACGGAATATTAAACTATACGCATTTTTTCTTGAGTTTCATTTAAACTTATTGGATTGAATTGAATCTACTTCGTTGACAGAGCATAAACCACAATAGAATAAATGCACTCTTTAAAATTCATTATATTTGTTTACCATAGCGACACTCTGGCGCTAGGTTCACTTAACAGCGTTATATTTCGTTCATATTATAACTTCAGAATGCACAAAATTTATATCATTTGAGAATTATCTAATCCTTGCCACATGTTCTATACAAATACTATAATAAAGCTAGAACGTTGTATAAAAGAAATTAAGCAAACAAAACAAAAAAGAAACAGTTTTTTTTTTTAACAGACGATTTAGTATTTCTTATTCAATTAATTCAGTTCTCACTTCGCGACAAGGCAAAAATACATAAAAACTCAAAATATCTATATTAAAAATTACGAAGTAAATCTTAAACACTTATTTCCTCGAAAAAATTCCAGAAAGGATTAAGCATGATTTAACTCGCAATGAAGGCGTTATCTTTGTTGTTGCGAAGCTTAGTCTCTCTAGATTGGCAACAAATCCACTATTCTGCTTTTTCAAATGTAAACAAATATGTCCGTCATGTTGTTTAAAGATTAGGCTTAACCGCACTTAAACAGCTTTTAAATTCTTGATTAATTGTACAAATACTGCTTCCAGATTTAAGAAAGGTATAAAAACCTTAACCGGAAGATAAGAACAACATAATTCAATCATTTTTAAAGCAAAAAATGTACAATTTACATACATATAAGACTAAAGAAATTGAGATCACTGAGCGGGGTAACAGAATTGATATATATATAAATATATTTATATACGTTTGGTGCGGCCGACTGCAACAAAAATACTAGGTGCACATCTGCATGTTATAGCAGTCCTATATACAAAATTTCAACGTTCTGAGGCTACTCGTTTTTGAGTTATGCGCGATACGTACGTACGGTACGTACATACGTTCGTACAGACGCCACGAAAAATTCTCTTTAGAATTCATTTTAAAGCAGCTTTATAATTTTTTGGAGGAAAAGAGTCTTTTATTCTGTCTTTATGTACAGATGTCACGCAAAAACATCGTTAAATTGCATTCGATAGCAGTCAAAGTGGATATTTTCGTTGAAATATGAAGCCTGAAAATTTTCAGGATTACAATACTTCCTTTTTACTTCGTACAAGGAAGTAAGAAGAAATTCTGAACGGTTTCAGATTTTAAATTACGTCCAAAGGGGCGTTTTTTGAACATTTTGTGTGTTACCTTTATTATATATCGTGTTCTTCGCACTTAAACCATAAAATTAAGTCAAAAGCAATATCGCAAAATAATTTTAAATTGAGCATATCTTTAGAATTTCCCATGCACAGTCTCGCGCGCTAGAGATAAAAATGTTTTTTTTCTGTACAACGTTGCATCGCTCGCTTTGTAATCCTTGAGTTTGTTAATCAAAAATTCGTTAAAGTTTTACAAAATGTGAAATCGATCATAAAACAAATTCCGAATTTCAAATTTGGGCTTCCACATGTCCATATTCGCAGTAGGATTACGTCATTGAAAATTGGTACCGTTGTTTTATCGCAATGCGAGAAACATACATACATTTATACAGATTCTTCATTATTTAATTTCTTTAAATATAATACAGGGCGATAATATTCGGTGGCGACATTTTGAAAAGTGAAACGGACATTCAAAGTGATTCGACGCAAAATCGCAAAACGAAAACAATAGTCCCTCAGGGACAAAGCCCCTTTGGACTAAAAACTTACATACTTACGGCATTTGCACAGAGGTAGCCGATTTATGTAACTATCTGTATGCTAAATTTTATTATCCATCAAGATATGTATTTATTGTTTCTACCCTTTAAAATACCATCCTTGATATCTTATTTGTATCCCATCCTGCGAAAATATTTTTGTGAAACTATTGACTAAACGAAAATATATTTGATTTTAATTTCTTTAAATATAATACAGGGCGATAATATTCGGTGGCGACATTTTGAAAAGTGAAACGGACATTCAAAGTGATTCGACGCAAAATCGCAAAACGAAAACAATAGTCCCTCAGGGACAAAGCCCCTTTGGACTAAAAACTTACATACTTACGGCATTTGCACAGAGGTAGCCGATTTATGTAACTATCTGTATGCTAAATTTTATTATCCATCAAGATATGTATTTATTGTTTCTACCCTTTAAAATACCATCCTTGATATCTTATTTGTATCCCATCCTGCGAAAATATTTTTGTGAAACTGTAGTGGCCCAGTTATTGCATGAGATATAATTATTTTTTATTTCATATATTTGTTCATGTGTTTCAGCGAATAGATCGGGTGAAAAAACCTTTGGAACTTCCTTATGAAGGACCATTTCCTGTTATTGATCGCAAGGACAAATATTTTACTATTAGCATAAAAGGAAAGCATGTTAATGTATCCCTGGATCGCTTGAAACCAGTATATATTTTAGCTGAGGAAAATTCCCAGTTGATACAACCTAACTACAGTAACTTGCAGAGACCGGACTCAAATTCCGATGTGAATCAAAAACATTCTCGCACAGGCAGAACTATACGTTTACCTGTTAGATTCAAGGACTGATTAAATTATTCTGATAGTGGATAACACTGCAATACTAGTTACTACCTATTTCTCCATCTTCGTAACGTAACTTAGTTACTGGTGGGGAAGTAGTGTAGTGGCCCAGTTACTGCATGAGAAATAATTATTTTTTATCTTATATATTTGTTCATTTGTTTAATTATTTTATAAAATTAACTTTAATATTTTGTTAATTATTCATATTTATATTTCTTTTATGCTGAATGGAAACAAGTAGTTCATATTTATATTTAAATTTCTTTATGCTGAATGTCAACTACACTCATGTCCATAAATTAAGGATAATTCGGAGTCACACGGAAATCGAACTCTAAAATAAATATATCACCTGTAAAATCACTACAAACATCTTCAAGAATCATATGCAAATTTTAGGAAGTAACCAGATGACACCGATGGTACGTCACAATGACGAGAGTGTAAGAGAGTGATATATAAGGAATACAGGCAAAGATTTAAAATTGTTCGCAGGCGCTTTATAAGCATTTCACTGCAATAACCGAATAGTTATGACGCAAAGGACGCATTTGGATGATTTTTTACGTGCTAGAATTATCGGGCGTCTGGAATGTGGGCGTACCCAACTGGAAGTATCAGACGAACTTGGAATTGCCCAGAGTGTCATCTCCAGGCTATGGCAACGATTCCAAGATGATGGTAATGTGTTTAGACGTTACAGCACAGGTCGCCCCAGAGTTACAACGCCGAATGAGGACCGGTATTTGGCAGTTACTGCCAAAAGAAACAAGCGAAGCATAGCCTCAGACCTGTCTCGTCAGCTCTCTTCAGCCACTGGTACGACAATTTCAAGGCAGACCGTGTACAGACGCTTAGGGCAAATTGGTTTATATGCTTGCAGACCTGTCAGATGCGTTCCACTTACTGCAAATCACTGCAGCCTGCGGTTATCCTGGAGTAGAGAGCATGCATTGTGGACACCGCAACAGTGGGCTTGTGTGATGTTTTCCGACGTGTCCAGGTTTAGCTTGCAGTCTGATTTTCGCCGGACATTTATATGGAGAGCTCCAGGTAGCCGTTACCACCAAGAAAACATCATTGAACGACACCGTTACGGTGGTGCAGAAGTGCTCGTTTGGGGTGGAATTATTCTGGGTTACAGAACTGACCTGCATGTTCAAATTGGAACCATGACAAGCCAAATCTATCGGGACGTCATTCTGGAACAAGATGTACGTTTGTTTCGGGGTGCCATGGGCGCACAATTTGTGTTTATAGATGACAACGCCCATCCTCACCGTGCAAACATCGTAAGCGAATGCCTTCAATCGGAGGATATCACCCGTATGGACTGGCCAGCATCACCGGACTTGAATCTAGTAGAGCACGTGTGGGACATGCTTGGCCGACGAGTTGCAGCCCGTCAACCTCCTCCTACATGTCTACCGGAACTTCGGAGAGCATTGCTTTTTGAGTAGTGTAATATCCCCCAAGATCAGATCGATAATTTGATACTCAGCATGCCTAGGCGTTGTACGGACTGTATTGCATCGTCTGGGAGACATACAATGTATTAACAATCATACCAACCATGTAATATTGGTTTTTTGTAAATAAGTTTTTTTTTGTAATTTGCTCCAGGGAGAAAAAATCGCTATTTTTTTTAATAATATCAAACATATAGCTTCTTTTTTTGCTCATTACCTTTTGTTTAATAAATAAGCTTTACAAATAAGTCAAATTTGTTTTGCTTCTAACTCTTCCTTTGCCTGATTTTGCATTATCCTTAATTTATGGACATGAGTGTAGTTCTGATTCATGATTGCTAGGTTTTGGTTTCAAAACGTTGCTCGTAGCGTCGCATTTCGATAGCTGGAAAATAAAATGCAATAAAGTTAGCTATTTGTTTATCATTCATGCTGTTCCTAATCATAAATTAATTTTAAACATTAGTAGCCAAGGCCACAAAACAATCGTAGGAAGTGTAATAATAAAATGTAGAGTTGGGGGAGAAAGAGATGCGAATTAATCACTTTCCGTGTAACCGGATCTTGGGCGAAATAAACAAAAGGCTGGTTAAATCGAAAATGTACAGAAAATCGCATTATAAGACAGTAAATGTGATTTAAAAATATGTAAATGTTATGGCTATGCGATAAACACCACGTCCATAAAAAGTTCCTATCTGGACTTTATTTTCGCAACCGGTGGTCGTAGACACGTATTTCCAGTTGCGAAAACGTTTTAATGACGCAAATATTCA